CACCCAGTTAAATTTAGACTGAAATTTCAAATGAGCTCTTATCTTTAACCCTCAAATCTCATCTCCTAACAATTGTATTATTTCAAATAAAGCATTCAGCTTATGCTCCATTTTCATAACAATATCCTAACATTAACAGGTTAACATCCTAATTCTAATATGAACTTAGCAGTGGACACACAATTGGTTAAGTTACAATTTTCAACAACTCCAAATAAAGGGACAAGAAAATGTTTTTGTGGTGGGTGAGGTATGAGTAATTCCATAATTCTGAACCTTCTCTTTTTCCTCTCCTAAAATCCAATGCATTGCTGCCATCATCTTCCAAAGATACATTTGAGCTACCCAGTCCTAGAATACCAAACAGCAGCAAAACTTTTGTCCCAGTTCCTCCTTATCAGTCTGGGAGGCCTCTTCAGTACTTCCAATTTGATTTCTCAACCAGTATACTGCCTCTGTAATAGTGTTTGATTGCTCCAAAGAGCAACTGTTCTCCAGGCCTTCTATTTCCTCTAGGCAATCAGCAGGTGAACGCTGGCAAAGGTGACCTCCATGTCCCAAGATATAGTGTGGATAAATGGCCAAACACCCAGTCACAAACAGACAGTCATTTCTCAGCCAGATTCAGAATAACTGGAACTCACAGAGGTCTAGGAAATTTGTGCAGCAGGTCTATCAGGAAACTGGGAATCATTCCTTCCCTTCCCAGACTGCAGGATGTAACATCAGATGATCAGGAACGCAGGTTCAGCAAATCTCACTCCAATTCCTCTGGAGGTGGGTCAGCAACCATGGTGTCATCAGGGCCAGCATCCCTCTGTTCCACACATCATACCAAGTACTCAGGCAGCCATTGAGCTTCATTTTCTTCCTGTGAAAAACACAAACATGCCCTTGACCCCATATTAAAACAGGGTCAGAACCCTTCCATAATCCAGAGCAAAAATCTTTCCATTTCACCTGAGCAGAAGTCACTCGGGTGCCATCAAGGCAAAATCTGTCTGTGGCAGATTGCTCCCAGGCATCCACATTCAAAAAAAATTCAAAATGAAGAGGGCATGATTCAATGATTGGGGGTACAACTCTCCCCTCTTAATTTTTTGAAGCTGCATCTTGAGACTTCCATGGACTTGCTCAACAATGTTTTGTCCTTGAGGATTATAAGGAATGCCTGTTTTATGCTCAATTTTCTATTGGGAGTAAAATTGTTGAAATGGTTTATTAATATATCCAGATCCACTATCAGTTTTAATAACTTTTGGCATCCCCATATAGGAGAAATATTTTAGGCAATGAACAATTACATGCTTATTGGCCATCAAAAATCCTGAATAAGTATCTATTATCATATGCATGTATTTTAATTTACCAAATTTCACAATATTGTGAATTTATCATAACTGTTTTTGATGAAATGGCATCTTGAATTTGTTGAAACAGCATCCTAACCTGACCATTATTAGTCCAAATGCAGGGAACAGTTTCTATAACTTGAAGAGCTCTATGAATATAATGACTATCTATATAAATTAAATGAATTATCTTTAATGAAATACCATAGTCATAACTCTCAATTCTATTATCTGAGTTGAAGCTGGAGTTGTTTGTACTATGTAACCTTTACCATTGATAACACACGCAGCCCTCCCATTGGAGGAACCATCAGTAAAAACTAGCATAGCATCTTTTACGGGATCTTTCATCATAACCTTAGGAAATATAAAGGAAAGCATTTGGGCAAATTGCAAGAATTGATCAGCTGGAAAATGATTATCAATTTGGCCCCAAAACTGAGAAAAAGCAATTGCCCAAGAATCATTATTCTGAAATAACCAACCAACTTGTTTAGTAAAAGGAACATTGATCACATTTGGTTGGTGAAGTTGGTTCTTCACCAAAATATTGCCTAGATTCCATCTGGCTTTTTTTGTATTAAATAAGCTACTGCTTCATAATAAGGGTTTAACACCTTAGCTGGTGAAACAAGAAGATGAAACCATAAAAAAAGGACCATTTTGCCATAATACTGCTGTAGGAGTATGTCTAGTGGGCAAGATATATGCTTGCCAAGGTTGATCATAATTAATATAATGTATCTGTTGATATTGAATAGCATTCTCAACTTGTAAAACAACCTACTTACCTTTTTCAGTTAACTGTCTGGGCGAATTATCCTCATTATCTCCTTTTAAAATATCATTTAAGGGCTCCAAATCATCAGTAGATAATTTTAAATAAGGTTGTAGCCAATGAATGTTCCCTAATAACTTTTGAAAATCATTCAAAGTTTTTAACCCATCTTTTCTTATTTTTAATTTTTGAGCCTTTGATTCCTTAGGGTATGATACATGTCCTAAATATTGAAAAGGCGGTTGTCTTTGCATTTTCTCTGGGGCAATTAATAACCCTGCACGGGCAAGGCCCCACTGAAGCTGTAAATATGTGGCAAGCAAAACTCATTATCAAATAACTTTGTAAAAACATCAACCGGTAGCAGTTCCTCTGTCGACACAGAGTTGAGTCTAGAGTTTCATTATATCTGTTTTAGGGAGAAACATCCTCTGCCGCTGGGAGTCCAGGCTTCCCAGCCTTAGCAGCCCTCGTGCTGCTGTCCACAATCAGGCAAGAACCCCAGCACCATGCTGATGTCCTGCAGTGAGCACCTACTTAGGCCGGGCATGTGTGCATGTGTGCAAGTGTGCCGGCCACTCCGTACCTGTGCTTCCCTGTGCTGCCCAGTGCGGCCATGTCCCTGCCTCTGCTGTGGCTTTGCCCTCCGGGGTTCAGCCATGCTACCTCTTCCACAGCATCCTAGTCTCTCTGGAAACAGAGACTCCAGCCACACCAGCAGGCCCCCTGGGCCGTTCTAATCTAGCTATTACAGTAGGAAGAACAGCGCCTTTCTGAGAAGAGAGGAGACCTGCAGAATCTCCAATTTTTGTGAAAGGGAAACTACTAAATCTCTCAAGCCCTTTAGTCCCTCCTTAGTCTCCTCAAACTCAGCTTCATAAAGATGTCCACATCTAGTGACTCCAACAACTCTAGACTCATCCTCAGTATATCCAGATCATTCACTCAGACTCATGCTATCACTCATTCAAACTACATGACATACCCAGGCATAACATATTTTCAAACGATTTATTCAGACCTAAAAAAAAATTACAAACCCAAACCTTCGTGACTTATATGCTTGCTGCATCTCTAACTTCCTCTGGCTTTTAAAATATCTCCATCGAATGTACAAACAACTGTTTACTATTACTCTGAGTTTTCTCACTGCATTTGCATTTTTGACATCCGGAGTACTCCCTTCATCTCTTGGTGTTCCATCATTGGATTCAGAAAGCCCCACATTGGGCACCCTTTGTCGAGTCCCGCTCGACCTGTTGAACGGGTTCTGAAGTGGAAAGTGTGGAATTGGGAAATGATAGCTATGAAATATAGACGTAGATGAAGAAAAAGACAGAGACACAGAATAGCTTTGGGAGGGTTCTGGGTCAATACCACAGATGCCTGAGTTTTATTACTCACAGCCTTTATATACCCAAAGCAAAGGGGGCAAAAGACCTCCCCCTTTGAAGGACATCACTGTTCAAAGTACAAAGTACAGTTAAGTGTAAACAGCTCCCTAGTACTCAAGACATCTGGTGATCATACCTTTGGCCACAACATCCTATTATGCAGCCTTGCAGGGGGAAACAAGCTCGGACCTCTGACCTTGAGTCAAGATGAAAACAAGCCAAAGCCACAAGGCACAAGCTATGGGCCCCTACAGAGAACTTACTTTAAAGATTATTTGTATTTTTGTGTATATGCATCTGTATGAATTCGTGTGTACTGCATGCATGTAGGCACCAGTGGAGGTCAGAAGAGGCCACCAGACCCCCTGGAGTTACAGTTGGTTGCAAGCTGTCAGTATAGGTGCTTGGAGACCTTAATTGCTGAGAAATCACTTCAGCCACAGGAGGGAATATTTTAGAATCAGTTGTGCTATGAGACTATGGAAACAATGCACTGGAATTGCCCCAGGAGTCCCACACTGGCAAAGGGAAAGGCTGAAGTCTGGTGCCAGCCAGGGGGAGAGCTTGTCTCACAGAAAGATTTCACTGAGATCTGAGAATTTGTCAGGAGAGACTGGAGCGGACAGTGATGAGTCAGTGACGGGCAGGACCACACCTTGACCAGGACTGTTTAGGAATGCACACCTCCTGCCCTTTGTTTAAACCTGAACCTTATGTCTGGGCCTCAGAAGAGAGACTTGGGGGCAACTGGGCCACTTTGTTTCTCTTTCCAACATGGCCACGTTGAATAAATCTTTCTCTGCTTTTCACAATTGCTTTCCAAAATGGTGTACTGGAGACAAGTGGCTGAACCTGGCTTATTGGGGCTGCCAGGGATCAGGCTTTTGCCACAAAATATCTGTTAACATCCATGGTGTACAGCTTCCTGAACTCTGAGCCTGCCTAGCTCTGCAGCCCACCAATTCCTGTGGTGTTCTTCCATGCTGGAAGGAAGCCAGTTGCCCCGTTCCTGCCCACATGCACAATATTCTGCTTAGGGAGGCCTGGCCTTGTCCAGACCACAGGATCTGTCCCAGTTTGTCCACAACAGGGGTTTCAGAGACAATGTTTCTTTAGTGTTGAAACTAGGACAAGCCAGGCAGACCCACCCAGAGGTTCACACTCAGACAGGACTGGTTTCCTTGTGACCGATTTGTGTACTAAGCACTCCAAACAGCTTTCTGTAAGTGCTTCATTTGTTTTAGAGGGAGCATCTGAAGCAGGCCCCCAGGCCGCTGGTCTGTGGGATGACTGTATGCACACAGCTGTTTATAGCTCTCCATTCCTAAATTGCCACAGCACCTGCAGAGTGGCTCATGCTCAGGCCGACCTTGCTCTAGGTACATGGAGCCCATGTCTCGCTGCTGGCCCAGTGCCTGCTGGGACAAGGGATGATGTGGTCTCTCCCTGCAGGTGTGTCCAGGCCACTACAGCACCATGGACCAAACACCCATCATCTGTGACTACGGTTCTGGCTTCAGCAAGGTGGGCTTTGCAGGAACCGAGGCCCCTCTGTCTGTCTTCCCCACCATCATCGGGAAACTGAAACATAACGTGAGTGACGGCCTGGCTTCACCCTCCAGGCTCTTATGCTGCTTTGGTTCCTGCGACTGTCATAGCTCCCAATGTCCTGACTTCCATACTGCTTTCTGTTAGACATCTCAAGAAGGTGGCCTTAGGGACAGACTAGAGGACACGAGCAAGCAGCTCCCATTCAGGTTGCAGCCTCTTCCACACACTCCACAAGAGGCGCCTGCCTCTGGTTGCAGCTTCTCTTTGTCTCTAGTACCCCTCCAGTCCCAGCTGGAGCCACTGGCAGCCTTCTCCTCCTGCTTCAGGAACCCCTCCTCTACGCTTGATTGGCAGCACCCCTCCCCACAGGTAGTGGCTCCCTCCTCCTCTGGCATTCTCTGCCACCAGCTTCCTCTGAAGTGCGGCATCTCCTTCTCTGTAGCTTAAGGTCTTAATGTGGGCTGTACCTGAAGTCTTCCCATAGCGCCAGGGGGAGGGAAGCCCATTAACAGTGCTGTTGAGCCTCTCATGTGTGGGTGTGTCCTGAGAACCCCAGGGGATGCCCGGGACTCTGGAGAGTCCTGAAGCTTCATACTCTTTCTTACTCAGACCTGTGTAGCGTGTGAGTTATAAACCATGTACCCATCTACATTAAGCGAGAGATGCTGCAGTGTTGGTTGGGTGCGTGTGGCAGAGGCAGTCATGGCAGATGATGTTTGCAGAATATGGGTTCACAGAACCCCTGATTGAAGAACCATGGCTAAGGGGGAGTACTGTGCAAAGAGCATGTGAGGGCCAGCAGTGCTTATGGATCAGTTATATGGGATGAAATAGAGGGTCGTAGCATGGGACAACTCCATTTCTCCATGAAGATGATAAGCAAATCTTCCACTCAGCCTGTCTCCTTCCATTAACCACATTCCCCAGCCCTAGGCAGCAGGAGTGGCTCCTATGTTCAGGAGAGTTCTTTCCTTTCCTTTTTCCTTTCCCAGGCATGAGACTCGGCTGTCTCATCTGTGACCCTGATCTCTACCCAGGGCTGGTGACCGGCCGTGTGAGGGCAGTGGGTCAGTCTCTGGAGGGAGGCCTGGAGGGGACAGAGAGGCTGAACAAGGACAAATTCATTCTTTCCATTGCAGTCCTGGCCTACAGGCCACCCAGGGACAGGAACCAGGCCCAGCCCTGTCCACTTCCTTGCAGTAAATGGTGACTTCAAAGCTGGGTCATCAGACCCAATCCCCACACTCAGAAAAGCATCAGAGGAGGCACAGCATTGGCAATGCCATGTCCCCTTGGTCTTTCAGTCTTTGAGGTCTCACTCCACATGCTTCCAGCAGTGCAGAGGGTCCGGAGGGAATTGCTTCCACTTGACAGAGAAGGGGATGAGGGTTTCGGGAGGTGAGCTGCTCACCTGAGGTCTTGCTCAGACCAAGGCCAAAGCTGTGGAAAGGACTGGATAGCTGAGGGCACCAAGCTCTGTGCAGCTGGACTGTGGCTCAGAAACCTACTGTTCTCCTGCAGTATGGCATTACTGTAGCCCTGCAGCATCACTGTGATACTCCACTGCAGCAAGGTATCGTTGTGCCATGCTCCATGTGTCATGCACCACCATATAGCACTGCAACACTGCAGCATGGTATTGCCACACAGCTGCATGGCTGCACCGTGGCACCATGCACTCATGCAGCCCTATAGCATCACTGTACTGATCCATTGCAGCAAGGTACCATTGCACCATGCACTACTGTAGCACTGTAGCATAGTCCCACCACATAGCTGCATGATAACAGATGGTACCATGCATTGATGCAGCATTGCAGCATCTCAGCATTGCAACATTGCCCAGCTCTATGACTGTCCTGTCACACTTGTACCATATCCTCCAACCCCCTTGTCCCTCTTCCCTGTTGCATACTGCCTTATGAACACTGCTGCTCCCATCTAGCTTAAGCATGAGCTTATCCTGGAGACCCTGGACTCCTCTGATGAGTGAGTATGGCTCAGGGTTCCTCCATGAGCTCGCCGGATCAGCCTTCCTTGTACACTGAAACACCCACCTGCCTTGTTTTCTTCTTTCCTCTGCTCAGACTCAGATGTGGGCATAGCCTGATGGCTCTTCAGTCTGTGCCCTTGCCCACTCTGCTCCTTCTCATCTAACCAGGCAAGTTCCTGCTAAATCTTCACAGCTCTAATCCTAATGTCTGTTTTTTGGTCAACTGAGGTAGATGCCCAGGCCCCTCTGACAGCATGGGAAGTTCAATCCACCTTGAAAGTAGGCCATCTTCCTGAAACTCGGGAGCTAGCTCATGCTGCAGGCCCTTTTCCATCAAGCCTTCCAGACAAAGTGTACAGGATATGTCCACGTGCCTTCTCTCCAATAATTTTTCTCTTCTGGCCTCAGTTTCCACACCTGCAGTATGAGTGTCCTTATAGTGACCCTCAGCAGCTATGGACCTTACAGGCAATGGCCCCCTTTGCTAGCAAACCACTGCTGAAAGTGTGCATGGTTGGAGAGCCTCCTCAATGTCTGGGTTAGTGATTGGTGCCAGCTTCCAGCATCCTCAGGGCACTGGCTCATGTCCATAGATGAGAGCCAGGTATGGTGGGTCCAGTCCCAGCCTGCCGCTCTCAAGGGCTGTCCAGTTCTGCCCATGTTTTTCAGAACCTGCTGGTGGGGACGGAAGAAGAAGACTGTTTCATTGGAGCTGAGGCCCAAAATAATCTGGTACAGCTGAACCTGAACCACCCCATCACCCGGGGAGCCATCGCCAACTGGGACAATGTGGAGAAGGTGAGCTACAGCCTCTGGGGGAGGGGCCCATCACACCCAAGCACTTAGCACTGAGGGAAGGATCAGGGCCTATCTCTACTGTGGCTCTCAGTCCCTCCATAGTCACAGTCTCAGGGGTCCCAGTTAGGAGACCTCTGTTTCGGTTCTGCCTCCTCTGCTTACTGCCCATGCCACCAGGACATGTGGCACGACATCTGGGACCCTCAGATCCCTTGTCTTAAAAGATGATATGATTGTTCCTGTGCCATCATGGCTGGTAGGGAAGGATGGAAAAGAAGTCCTTGGCCTCAGAGGGAAGTAACACACAGTGAACGGTTTAACCAGCTGTCCACAACACCTGCACTTGAGGACCTGTTGCTTGCTTATGGTCTAAGTGCTTGAGGCAGCTGTAATGAAATCCTACAACATGGCAGTAAAATTCTCAGACATTGGTTCTCTCACAACCCTCAAGGCCATGGTGTTGTTGGTACAGACTGCTGCTGAGGGCTGTGAGGGAAAGCCTGCCTCAGGCTGCTCCCCGGGTTCTGGAAGGCTTGCTGACAGTGTTTGGGGGCTCCTTCGCTTGGAGTGTTACCTCAGTCCCTGCACTCATCTCCTCAGGGCATCCTCCTGTGTGTGTTTGGTTCAGAATTCCCCATTTTATTAGTGTAGTACCTGAACTGGATCAGGGACATGCCACTCCAGTAGAAGCTCCTCTCAGGCTCTCCAACAGCACCCACTGTAGTCTATTCCAGAAATGGTGACACTGGGGTCTTGGGGCTTCCACAGAGGAGTTTTGGGCATCATAACTCGAATATAGCAATGGACTAAGGCAGCTTAATCAGTCAGTTCCAAGCCCAGATTTATGCCTCCACCCTCATGGTTTCTGTGGATCAAGAATCTGGGCACAGCTTGGGTCCTGAAGGCGAGGGTGACACTCTATGTGATGGGGTGCAGTAAAGAAACTACCCAGGGATGGGGTCCTGGGCAAGCCTCACCAGTTTTCCAAAAGGGAAGTCCAGAGCAAGATGGGAGCTGGGGGCCGGCCTCTAAGTCTCAGGAAGAGGCTTGGGGCTCAGGCGGATGGGCGTGGGGGCAGAGCGTGGAGACTGAGAAGCAAAGTGCTAGAGAGGCCCACAGAAATCCACAAAGATACCCACACAACAGACTGCCGGCAATGGTCGAGAGACAGCCCGAACTGACCTACTCTGGTGATGGGATGGCCAAACACCCTAATTGTTGTGCTAGAAACCTCATCCAACTACTGAGGGATCTGGATGCAGAGATCCATGACTAGGCCCTGGGTGGATCTCTGGGAGTCCAATTAACGAGAATGAGGAGGGTTTATATGAGCGAGAATTGTTGAGACCAAGGTTGGATAAAGCACAGGGACAAATAGCCAAATGAATGGAAACACATGAACTATGAACCAATGGCTGAGGGGTCCCCACTGGATCAGGCCCTCCGAATGGGTGAGACAGTTGATTGGCTTGATCTGTTTGGGAGGCATCCAGGCAGTGGGACCAGATCTTGTGCTCATTGCATGAGTTGGCTGTTTGAAACCTGGGGCCTATGCAGGATTGTTTGGCTCGGCCTGGGAGGAGGGGACTAGACCTACCTGGACTGAGTCTACCAGGTTGACCTCAGTCTGTGGGGAAGGCTTTGCCCTGGAGGAGATGGGAATGGGGGGGGGGGGGCGTTGGGGGGAAGGTGAGGGGGACGGGAGGGGGGAGAACAAGGGAATCCGTGACCGATATGTAGAACTGAATTGTATTGCAAAATAAATTAAAAAAAAAAAAAAGAATGCCATTAGAGAGCAAAAAAAAAAAAAAAAAAAAGAAACTACCAAAGTGGCTGCTCCATGGTATGGTTCAGGGGAAGGTTTTTTTGTTGTGAATCAGTGAGAGAAAATATGCAGAGGCATCTGGAAGAATCTAGAACAGAGAGAAAGAGAAATAGACTGGACATGGTCAGGGCTGTCTGAGAGAGGAGAATGGATAGTGGAGATAGTGAGATAGAGATAGCAGAGGGAGTGGAGGCAGGGGAGAACCCATATAGAGAACAAACAGGCATCTAGAGGGAGGGAAGCCTTGGGAGGTGAGAAGGGCCAGCATGGAGGCTTTGAAATGTATAACAAGGATTTGTGAGTAGGGACTGAGGAAGCCCGGGGGCCAACAGGGGTTTTGATATACTACCGTAAGTACATGTTAATGGAGAGTCATGTCCCTTCTGCCAGAGGCAAGAGAAAGGAAATGACTCAGGAAGAGTTTTACAAGTTCCGAGGAATGCTGGTTTTCAATCTAGCTGCCAGAAATCCTTCTAGTCCATCTTGAACTCATTTCTAGACATATGGAGGGCCTGAGAACTAACAAGCACGAGAAAGAGCCATGCCATCAGCAACAGGACACGTCCAAGATGGCACCCTCATGCAACATCTCCTGGTCTGTCTGAAGGTGCATGAAGCCATAGCATGGTGGCTGACTCTACCAGGCCAGGGGGAGCACACAGCATGGTAGACAGGCTGATACTAGGCCTTTGTCACCAGTCACTCTGTTTTTTTTTTTGGGGGGGGGGTCCCAAACCTTTGTGGCATTGCTCCTGGCTCTTCCTAAGCCTCTAGATATTGGTTTCAAACATCTACCCACATGCCAGCATCTCTGAGGGACCATCCTCTGTCCACCATCTTGTCCCTCACTCATCCCCACAACAGCACCTTATGTCACTGTCCTGTCACTGATAGTGGCTAGCTATCAAAGAATAAGTCTGCCTGGCTCTGTGGCTTCTTAGACACCATTCTGCTTCCTGGGTCCTTTGACTATGGAGTTATCCCTAGCTGCTCTCTCAGAGTGCTGCATGGCCTCCCCTTGACAGAGAAGGCAGGAGCTTCACACAGGACAACTAGGACTGTTTGTTATGAACCTACAGTGTGCTTAAGTATTGTAGGTGGCCACAATATATCCCCAAAGTTCCCCCCCCCCCCTTGGCTTTTCAAGGCAGGATTTCACTGTGTAGTCCTGGCTGTCCTGGAACTCACTCTGTAGACTAAGTGGCCTCGAATTCACAGAGATTTGACTGCCTCTGCCTCCTGAGTGCTGGGATTAAAGGCAAGTACCACCACCACCACCTGGCTGTCCCTGAAGTTTTTATACTGGAGTCACAAGCTCTATTCTCAGATGCTTTGAAGACATGGGTTTTCTTAAAGTTACCATGGCTATGGTGAAACACCATGACCAAAAGCAAGTTTGTTTTGCTCAGAGTTCCATAGAACAGTTCAGTATCAAAAGCAGTGAGGACAGGAACTCATGCAGGGCAGGGATCTCGGGGCAGGAGCTGATGCAGAGGCCATGGAAGGGTGCTGCTTTCTGGCTTTCTTCCCATAACTTGCTCAGCCTGCTTTCTTATAGAACCCAGGACCACCAGCCCAGGGATGGCCTCACCCACAATGGACCAGGCCCTCTCACATCAATCACTAATTAAGAAAATGCCCTATAGCTGGATCTTGTTTGTTTGTTTGTTTGTTTGTTTTTTGTTGTTGTTTTTGAGACAGAGTTTCTCTGTGAAACAGTCCTGATTGTCCTGGAAACTGCTTTGTGGACCAGGTTGGCCTTGAACTCACAGAGATCCACCTGCCTTTGCCTAATACTGGTATTAAAGGCATGCACCACCAATGCCTGGCTATAGCTGGATCTTATGCAGACATTTTCTTATTGATTATCAGTTGAGGTTCTCTCCTCTAATGACTCTAGCTTGTGTCAAAGTTGACAAAAAACTAGCAAGTATAGGGCTTAATTTTTTTAATATGTATCTGTTTTATGCATATGACTGTTTTGTCTGTCCTGTCTATGTGCACCACCTGCATGCCTGGTGGCTGTAGAGACTAGAAGAAGTTATCAAATTCTCTGGAAATGGAGTTACAGATTGTTGTGAGCCACCACATGGCTACTGGAAACTGAATCCAGGTCCTCTGCAAGAGCTGACAGTGCCCTTTACCACTGAGTTATCCAGCCCAAGACAAGGGCCCTTACAAGTGACCAGTAAAGCTGGGCTGTGTGGAGGTACTCATTTGCCATTCCAGCTCCAGGGTAGCAAAAGCAGGAGAGTCAGGAGTTCAAGGCCAGCCTAGGCTACGAGGCCCTTTCTTAATACAAAATGGTAATCAAATTATAATGAGGCCTCTACAGTGGATCCTAATTCATGAGACTGTGGCCTAAGAAAAGGAGTTCAGGACACAGATCTACAGAGCATGACCATGTGAGAAGATGGGGAAGACAACATCAGCAAGCCAAAGAGACAAGTCTCCAGAGGAGCCAGCAGTGACACAGCCATCTCAGATCTCTAGTCTAGGTGTGAATGCCAACCCCCTCTCAAGGTTCTATGGACAAACAAAAGTTCACATTGGGGAACCAATGAGTTTACTGGCCCAACTTACACAACATAGGGGAGGGGTTACTCAAAAGAGCATGGGAGACCCAAAAACAGCCACACTGAATATCTTCAGGTAGCATAGATGATGGCTTCCCCACTATACTAGTCAGGTGTTCTCTAGAGTAACAGAAATTATAGAATTAATCTCTCTATACATAGAAGGGGGTTTATTAGAATGACTTACAGGCTGTGGTCCAGCTAATCCAACATGACTGCCTATGAACAGAAGGTCAAAGAATCCAGTAATTGTCCAGTCCCTGAGGCTGAATGTCTCAGCTGGTCTTCAGTATATGCTGAAATCCTGAAGTAGGCTCTAATGCCAGTGAAGGAATGGATTGCCAATGAGAAGCAGGCAAAAGCAATTCTGTTGCAGGATATTTGATCACATTGGGAAGATGTCACTGTTTTACCTCATCTGCCTAGGTACCTTCTGATTGGTTTAATAAAGAGCTGAATGGCCAATAGCTAGGCAGGAAGATGATAGGGCAGTCTTCTGGGCAGAGGTAGGTACTTCGGGTTAGAATTTGGAGTGGGGAATTCACCAGCGAGACCCAGAGGAAGTTGGTCATACAATACTGAGGAGAGGTAATAAGCCATGTGGCAGACTGTAGATTAATATATAAACAGGTTAATTTAAGTTATAAGAGCTAATTGGGCCTAAGCTAAGGCCAAGCTTTCATAATTAATAAAAAGTCTCTGTGTCATTATTTGGGAGCTGGCAGTCCAAAGAAAGTCCCACTATAAGCTTCCTTCTCCCACGTCCTTTATATAGGGTACCAGCAGAAGGTGTGGCCCAGATTAGAGGCGCATCTTCCCATCTCAAAAGATCTGGAACAAAAGTGAATCTTCCCACTTTAGATGACCTAATTAAGCAAAAGTCCCTTAGAGTTGTTCCCAGCAATGTAATTAGTCTTTTTTACTCTTTGGGAGGGCCCACCACCCAGCTCCCAAATAAATCACAGAGACTTACTCTTTCTTATGAATACTCAGCTTTAGCTTGGCTTGTTTCTACCCAGCTTTTCTTAACTTAAATTATCCTGTCTACCTTTTACCTCTGGACTTTTATCTTTCTCTTTTCTCTATACCTTTCTTTACTTCTTACTCTGTGTCTAGCTGTATGGCTAGGTGACTGGGTGGCTGGCCCCTGATGTCCTCCCCCTTCTTTTCTTGCTTCTCAATTTTCTCTTCCCAGATTTCTCCTATTTATTCTCTCTGCCTGACATTCCTGTCTATCTTTTCTTCTGCCTTGCTATTGGTTGTTCAGCTCTTTATTAGACCAATCAGGTGTTTTAGACAGGCAAAGCATCCCAGCTTCACAGAATTAAACAAATACAACATAAAAGAATGCAACACATCTTTGCATCTTTAAACAAACATTCCACAGCTGTAGAGTCCCAAAGAGGTTTGTTTCCTAGTGAGAACTTACTCAGGGTCCAAGAATCTGAGTTTGATTTACCCAGCAGGGCTGCATAAAGGGATGATTTGACCATGGGCATGGTTACCAAGTGTTTGGAAGGCTCTACACTTGGCTGTGTGGTGTGCTTTGATCTAGTAAGGGGGAGGTCTTTTGCCCTGCCCCTTGACATTGTTATAAAAAGTCCTTTTGACAAAAGAGGCCGAAGGGGCCTTTGGGTATTGACTCAGGTACTCCTGAAGCTATCCTGTGTTTCTGTCTTTCCTCTTTTTGGCAGGGTCTCTCTAACTAATATTTTCTTATCCCTCTCTGTCCTTCATAGGAACCCTGGGAAAAGTGGGAGCAGACCTCCCACACACAGCATACACAAATGTAACACATTTTCAACTAATGTTCTACAACACAGCCATTTTTTGGGTTTTAGTTAATTCCAGATACAGTCAGGTTGACAACCAAGAATAACCATTACACCTATGGCTGAGTGGATGGAGCTGTCCCCTAGCCATCCTAGCCTGTATACTCTAGCCTCTCCAGAAACCATGCAATTAGGGCGGAATGTTATATAAATGGCTGGAAGGAGTGGCTGGATACTCAGCCGAGAATCTAATGATCTTTCCCCATCCTCTCCAGAGGGAACGTCAACAGTGCACAGGCTGGTCCTGACACACTTTTTTGCACAGGCTGGTCCTGACACACTTTTACAAGCAGACAGAGCTCGTCTAGTGAAGATGATGGCAGTTTGGCTCAGAGGACAGAACCTTACAACAGGAATGAACAGCATGCTTCTTTGGCAACGCTGTCATCTGAGGCCCACACTCCCTGAGGGGGTGGATGGTTTCTTCTACTTTAAAAATGAGGATGGAGGCTAACTAAGGTCACCTTCATGGTCCTGGGCAAGCACATGTTATGTGGCAAACTTCCATCATTGCTGGGTTTTCTCTGTGACACCCAAACCACCTGTGTTTCCACCTCATCCCTGAGTTTTGGTGCATGTATCTGTCACCCATCAGACCCAAGAGACCTTTAGATAGTGCTGGGTCTGCCAATCCCTGCCAACCCCATTCCATAACTTCAGGCCTGGTGTATCATCGGAGGCTGAATCACATTGTATCTTGCTTTGATGGTGATCCAGAAGTGCTGTCTACAATTCAGCCATCCTTTGGAATTATGGGGTCTGGTCCTGGGGCATTTTGGACACCCAGACCACTGGATTTCTATGTACAATGGCAGTATTTGCAGGGTGCCAACCAAGTCCTTCCATATGCTCCATATCATCTCTAGATGGACTACAAATTATGGGACACTGACTTGCTTAAAGAACAGTGACAAGGGAATGAGTCTGAATATGTTCACTGAAGGCACAGCTTTTTATTTTATTGTATTTTATTTTATTTTATTTTATTGAGATAGAGTCTCGTGTAGCCCAGGCTGGCCTCCAACTTGTTTTGTGCTTTAAAATAGCCTTGAACTTTTGACTCTCCTGCCTCCACCTCTTGAGTGATGGGATTTCAGGTGTGCACTGGGGATGGACTGTAGGGCTTTGTGCAGGCTAGGGAAACACTCTAGCAACTGAGTTACAGTCCATGCCCCCAGTTTTTCCCCAAACATTTTGATTCTTGGTTGGCTAAATCTTTAGATGTAGAATCTACAGATCTGGAGCTCAACAGTACTGATTTGTCAGAAGGATGGAAGAATATGTAACAGAGATGATAGATAGATAGGTAATAAATGATAGGCATAGATAGGTGGATGTTAGACAAATGGGTCTCAACCTGTGGGTCACAACCCCTTTGGATAGCATATCAGATATATACATTATGATTCATAACAGTAGCAGAATTACAGTTATGAACTATCAACAAAATAATTTTATGGTAGGGTGGTCACCGCAATATGAAGAATTATATTAAAGGGTCACAGCATTAGGAAGGTTGAGAACCACTGAGTTAGATAGGTAGATGATTGATAGGTAGATAGATGATAGACAGAAGGTAGATTGATAGATTGGTGGTGGACACACACAGAGACAGATGCAGAACATAAATAATAGGCGTTAAACAGGTAGTGAGATGAACAGATAGGTGTAGACGGGTAGTAGTAGATTATATCTAGAGAGAGAGAGACTAGTTGGTAAACAGAAGACAAAGATGATTTAGGTAGCTAATAGATGTATCTGATACATAGATTAATAGATGGGTGATAACAATCAGCATGTCTCTGGACAGCAAACAGCTCGCCTACTGTCCTCTCTCTACAGATTTGGCATCACTCCTTCTACCAGGCCCTCCACATCTCCCCCGAGCAGCACCCTGTAATGATAACAGAGCCACCGTTAAACAGCAAGGATGTTAAATCAAGAATGACACAGGTAATGGGGTATGGGGCCAGCTGAGGCAGGAAGGGAGGCTGCTGTTCTGTCCTGAATTAAAAGTTTCCTAGCTCTGGCCTCATCCTGGTCCTTCCTGCCATGATGGACTTGGTGGTGGATTGGTGGAGTTTGAGGGTGGATCCCTGTCTGTGAGTGCTTCAGCCAGAGCACAGATGGCAGAGTCCTCCTTAGGCTGCAGTGGGGCTAGGTGCAGTGGCTGCAGGAAGCTGCCTCCTCCCCAGCTGCCAGAGTTCTCATCCTGACTCCCAACTTCTCCTACAGAGGACACAGGAAAGCTAATAAAGCAGGTGGCCAAGTTGGCTCATCTGGCTGGAATCCCTGGAGCTCAGTGGGATCTCCTGCAGTGATCAGTCCCTCATATACAGGCCCAGGGCCAAGGCATGATTTGCCTATCTCAGAGGCCACTTAGACCTGGAAACCACAGTTCTACCCATCACAGCACAGGTGTGAGCTCACATCAAATAAGCCCCAAACTGGCCCCTGATCCCCACCCTAGTGTGGACAGTCAGATCATGGAAATGGCCACAGCTGGCTCCCCTGAGGACTGGGCATGGCTGGCTTCACCCAAAAAGCATCCAATGTCCATGAGGTTTTCAGCCTAACTAGAATGGGACAAGAGAGGGATGAGACTGTCCCCACACAACTGCCTGTCCACTCCTCAGCTGTAGCAGACAACGGAGCAAGAGGGTGTGTGTACGCCAGGAAGGAGGCCTGTGAGAAACTGTGAAGGCAGGGGCTGAGCAGCTGAGCTCAACCCCAACCGGCTGGAGCTGCGGGTGTGCTCCCTCCCTGCGGAGCCCAGCAGAACAAAGACACGTAGAGATGAAGGTTCAAGACTAGTCCCATCAGAAAAGTAGATGATTGGCTCCCATGGCTGGGACTATCCCCTCATTTTTCTCCTCCTCCTCGGACAAACCACCTGCCCCTCTCAGCCCCTGACTCAATATCACTTGTCTAGATAGATACTTGCAGGTATATAGGACAGCAAAGTGACTCCTATAAACAGTTTCAAGCAGCCCTTTCTGGGACCGCACCCTCCGGCATGAAGGTCATCAGCGGTGATATTTTGTAGAGTTGTTGCAAGGTGTCTGTGGAGTGTGAAGATGCTGGCACAAGGGGAGGGCTTAGTCAGACTAGCCATTTGACTGACAGTCAAGCACAAGCAGGAAGAGAGTGTCCAAGAGCTGCTAGTTGGAGAGTCAGACCGCAGTGCCTAGTGACAGGAAGATACACCCCAAAGCATGCTGACAATCTGAACTCACAGACCTTATCTTAACACTAACCCTTTCACAATGCTGACACCTGTCCAGTGGCCAGGGAGAGGTGAGGCCCCCGGTGGGTCTCACCATTATGTCCTGATCCAACTAGCCTTCTCATCATCCATTATAGAAGTATCTAGAAGGAGCCAGAGTACCAGTGTCCTAATTAGCATTAACTGTCAACTTGGCACAGCCTAGAGCCACCTGAAAAAAGGCTCAACTAATTGCCATTATCATATTAGCCTATGTGCACTATGTGGGAGATTATCTTGGTTGTTAAGTGATGTAGGAGGGCCCAGCCCACTCTAGGCAGCATCATTCCTGCAGGTGGTCCTGGGTTGTATAAGAAAGCTAGCCTGAGCATAAGCCTTTGGGTGAGCCAGCAAGCATTGTTTCTCCATGGTTCCTGCCCCGTGTTCCTGCCCTGGTGCATCACTGACTTCCCTCAGTGATGCTCCATGACCAGCAAGTATTCACCAAATAAACCCTCTGCTCCCCTAAGTTGCTTTAGGCCAGAGTGTTTTTATCACAGCCGCAGAGTGAAACTAGAGCAACCGCTTCCCAGCAGAGCTAGCTGGAGATAAGTGCTGGCCACCCCGGGCTTAGTCTCCCTGGATCCACAGCCTGCTGCAAGAGGCACTCATGAGCACCCGGGCAGTGTGTGCCACCTGGCCAGCCAGCATGCCAATCTTCCTCCCCAGATCCTCTTTGAAACCTTCAACGTCCCCGCCCTGTACATGGCTAACCAAGGGGTCCTCTCCATGTACGCTGCTGGCAGAACCTCTGGTGAGTGGCCCTGTGGGATCCCCATCCTTCCCAGACACACTGTCTAGTTCTCGGGGCTGGGGATACTCACCACAGCATTCAGCCCCTCCCTGACAAATAAAAGCATAGGAGCGGGTAGCAAGATGGGTCAGTAGGTAAAGGTGCCAAGCCTGAAGCCCCCGTTTAATACCCCCGGCCCATATGGTGGAAGGAGAGAACTGACTCCTGAGGATTGTCCTCTGACCCCCACATACAGGCAGGCACTTGAGGAAACACTACACACACACACACACACACACACACACACACACACACACACATGCACACACACACACATACACACAAGCACACATACACACAAGCACACGCACATGCGCAAGTGTTCATTAAAAAAAGAAAAGGATGTTCTTTAAGACACACAGTGATCCTCACTTCATAATAAGAGCACTGGGAACTCAGAGTAGTGAACAGTCAGGCAGTTTATTTTCTGACCTGTATAGTTGGGTGTCACCCTGGAGAAAATGCAAAATGGCTGATGATTTGGTGCAAAACTGGTCTTTATTTTTTAAGAATTGTTTTTTAAGTGTGTGTGTGTGTGTGTGTACCAAGTGCCCTCAGAAACCGGAAGCATGGCCCCTGGAGCTGGAGTTCCAGGCAGTGGTGGATCACCTGATGAGTCCCCTGAAGAAGCAGTAGAGACCCTTAACTGCTCAAGTCCCCAAATAGTGGTTTTTATGGTCCCTGATTGCAAAAACACCCCTGCCCTTTGTTTCCCATAAGCTGGTTCTCCAGAAAGTTAAAATCATCCTCTCCTTAGCCTTGTCCCCTTCCCCAATGCCCTGTCCTCAGGGGCTCCAGATCCCCTTCCTCTCCAGACACTCAGCTCAGTCACCTGGCAGACTATAACTTTTCAACCTAAGAAAAACTAAAAAATAGCTGTTGCCATCTGCTAACTGGGGAGGACAGGGGCCTAACGCGTCATTACCTGTGGTCCTCTGGTGAGCTTTGAATACACCGTATTCTGAAAATGGACCATAATGAAATATTTCTTACACACACCTGGCTCTTCTCACTCCTTCCCTTCTTTCTTCTGGTGACACAGCATGCTCCCAGAATGCAGACTCATTTTTTTTTTCTTAACCGATTTGCGAAAGTGTTACTGAATGAAATGAACATTATTAAGGAGTGCTGACATGTGGGTGTGCTCACAAACCATCACAAGCACACCCAAGGTTCCCATTGTGCCATTCCCTCCCACCTGTTGAGATAACCGCTGGATTTTCCAGATTTTGTGAATGGAACAGTGCCGCCAACACGCGGCCATGGGTCCCTTTTTCACTGTTCACTCTGTGGCGGTTCTTTTGTGCTATCACGGGCATCCATATTTCACTTCCTCGTCTTTTTTTTTTTTTTTTTCCCAGAGCTGAGGACTGAACCCAGGGCCTTGCGCTTGCTAGGCAAGCGCTCTACCACTGAGCTAAATCCCCAACCCCTCACTTCCTCTTCTTGCTGAGCCATGGTAGTGTGGTTCCATGTCAGGAATGTGCCAAGCTTTTGTCTACTTATCTGGGGATGGAAGTCGGACATGTTTCCGGTTTGGGGGATTGTGATGAAGCTCCTATGGACATCCACACATCTTTGAGTGGATCTTCCTGTAGTGTGTGGAACAGCAGTGGCTCTCCATGGTTTTTCCACAGCTCTGCTGTATTGCCCTTCTCACTGCTGATACAAAAACACCTGACAGGAGCGGCTTAAGGAGGGAAGGGATGGTCTGGCTCAGCGTTTGAGGGCGCAGTCTGTCACGGCAGGGAAGGCATGGCTGTGGGCACTCACAGCAGCTGGCCACAGCCACAGTCAAGGAGCAGACAGAGGTAACATTGGTGCTCAGCTCACTTTGTGTTCATCCCAGGATCCCAGCCCATGGGATGGTGCCACCAGCATTCAGGGGTGGGTCCTCCCTCTTCAATGGATGCAGCCTGGAAACTCTACCACAGACACACCCAGAGGCTTGTGTTCCTGGTGATTCCTGATCCTGTCAAGTTGGTGACACTAACCATCCCACCTGCCAGCTCTTGGATGACCAGTCTTATCGTGACCATTCTCATAGAAGTGGCACTGTGCTATCTCCTGCTTTTAATATATGCTCCCCTCAGAGCCAAGGACTCTGAGCACACCCTCTTGTATCTCCGTCCGTGACAGTGGCTCTCGGGTGTTTTAGCAGATTCTGTGTATTCCGACCCCTCTCTTTCCAGCCCCTCCTCCAACGTCTTTCATCAGAAGCGTGGTTCATCAGCTGTGCTCCCACCCAGCTTCCTCTTCCCTTCCCACAGTCTTTTCAAGAGAGTCCCATTTATCAATGTTTTCATGTTTGGTGCCACATCCAAAAATCATTTCCTGGACCCCAAAGGCTTTCTTCTTTCTTCTAGATATTTATAGAGTTTAGCTTAATGTTCTGTTCTATGTTCCATTTGGATGGATTTTTAATGTATCTTGTAAGACAGGAATGAAACACATGTGTTGTTATTCCTGTGGTGTTTATTAAGAAGACCTCTCTTAGCTGTGGACAAGGGATGAGTGCTGAGGGAGGGAGGGAGGATCAGTCTCCTTTGGGGTGTCAACACATACACACACACACACACACACACACACACACACACACACACACACACAAAGTGATAAAAATCACATTTTATAAACTAAGAAAGAGACACGATTCCTTTTCCTTCACTGAAATGCCTTTGCATCTGTTTGAAGGTGACTTTCCCATGTATGCCCCAGCTGACCTCTGAGCTCATGGCCCTGTTCAATCAATCAATCAATCATTTTTTTTTTTTTTGATTCTAGGTCAATAGCACATGGTCTTGATGACTGTGGCTCATACTGAGTCTTGAAAGGAAGTGGTTTGTTCTACCCTCTAGATTTCTTGAGTTTGAGATGTGGGCTCTGCTAGGTCTTTCCGTGGTCCTGCCTGGATTTTAGAACCAGATTGTCAGTTCTGAAAACAAGCGAACCAAAAACCAACCAAACAAAACCCTTAGCACCACATGTCTTTGGGTTTTGTTTGGGGCTGTGTTGAAAGCATGAATCAGTTTTTGAAAGAGCCAGAATCTCAAAGGCATCTAGTCCAGAAACCACAGACTGTGGCGTGTCTGGGAGGTCTCTGGATCCCTCTCAGCACTACATGAGGACTCACGGTGTCAGGCCGGGCCTGTCTTTCATCTCACAGGTTCTGGTACTGTTGAAAGTAGATTTATTTGTTATGGTTTGAGTGTGAAATGTCCCCTGCAGGCTTGAGTTATTGTGGGGCTATCGCTCATGGATTCCGGGCGGTGACTGGTCCTGAGGGCTCTCATTTTGATGGAGTCACAATTCCACAGAGGTTGGGAGGCAATGGGAACCGAAAGTAGGATCTGGTTGGAGAGAGTTGGTTGTGGCAGCATGCCCTGACAGGGTCTGTCTGTCCCCGTCTTTCTCTGGCTCCTGTCTGCCATTTGTGAGTACATCTGCTCTAGCCCATGCTCTTGCCATGATGCTCAGCCTCTCAACATGGGTGCCGACTGCATAGACCATCAGTAAAAAAATCTTTCCTCCTTTCAAATGATTGTTCTCCAGTAATTGTCACAAGACTGACACAGTAAATGTGTGTGCATGCACATTCCTGTGTGCTGTGTGTGCATGCGTGCAAGTATGTGTCTGTGCACTTGTACATGTGCACATGGAGGATAGAGGTTGATAGCAACAGCCTTCCTTACAACTGTCCGCTTTATTTATTTATTTATTTTTGCTTTTTTAAAATTAAAATTTTTTTTTTGCTTTATTTTTTTGAAGATAGTGTCTTGACTCACTGAACCTAGACTAAAGCTAACCAATTGGCTAGACTGGCTGGCCAATGTACTCCAGGGACCAACCTGTCTCTATCCTCCAACCCCAACTACCCAGAGCTAGGGTTATAGACATGTGCCCCCATCCCCAGCATTTATATGGATGCTGGGGATTGGAACTCAGGTCCTCATGCATATGCTGCAGGCACTGGCCCACTGGGTCATTTCCTCATTTTTGATTGCTCATTGCTATTGCACAGATAACAGTTGAGTTTTGTACATTGATACTGTATTTTAACACTTTAAACTTGTGTGTGTGTGTGTGTGTGTGTGTGTGTGTGTGTGTGTGTGTGTGCCTTTTTTTCTAGATAGGGTCTTATTGTGTAGCCCTGGCTGTCCTGGAACTTGCTCTGTAGACCAGGTTAGCCTCAAACTCAGGCTAGCCTCTGCCTCTCAAGTGCTGAGATTAAAGGTGTGTGCCACCACCACCTGGCAAATATATATCCTTAAAAATTTTTAATTACATTAATTAATTTATAGTGTGTGCCGTGGTGTATGTGTGGGGGTTGGAGGACAACTTTTGGGATTTGATCCTTTCTCTATGTCATGTAGGTCCCAGGAATTGCATTCAGGTCATTAGGCTTGGTGACAAGTGCCTTAACCTGCCTAAGCCATCTGGCCAGCCCCATGGTAAACATATTTTGACAAATAGCGTTTACTTTATTATTTCCAAGCCAGGTGGGTTTTTTGTTTTTTAAATTGTTTCATTCTTTTCTACTGACTGCCTAGGCCTCACTGTTCAGAGTGTAGGCAGTGAGGATACAATTCTTTGTCTTTTCTCCAGTTTTAGAGGGAAATCATTCAGCCTTACAGTGTTAAGCACTGCATCAGCTGAGGGTTTCATATTTTCTTCACTAATTTAAATGAGTTCTCATGTGTTCTTATTTAATGAGAATTTCTTCTTTTAATCAGGACTAGATATTGGATTTTGTCAAAGTGCAATTTATGCATAGTGACGTTAGATGTGACAACTTGCTACAATCTAGAATCGCCTGGGAAGAGAGTCTCAATGAAGGATTTACGTTGGGTTTGCCTGTGGGCATGGCTGTGGGGGGTTAGCTTAACTAAGTCAATTGATATGGGAAGACACAGCCCACTCTAGTTGGTACCGTTCCCTAGGCAGAGTGTCCTGAACTGTATGAATGGGGAAATGGACTGAGCATGTCAAACAAGAAAGAGAGCATGCAAGCATTTGCTTCCCTGTTTTTGACTGTGGATGTGATAAGACTAGCTGTCTGAAGTTCCTGCCTAACTTTCTCATATGGTGGAGACTATTATCTGGAATTATAAGCCAAAATAAACCTCTTTTTCTCCTAAGTGGCTTCTGTCAGGGTGTTTTTATCACAGCAACAGAAATGAAGCTAGAACATGTATCTATTGGTGAAATCATATTAATATTGATTTTGATCTGTGGAACAAAGGCCATTTAATTCTTTAAAAATCCATGTTGTTGAAATCAACTTGCCAAAATTTCACTTTGGAGTTTTGTGTCTGCGGTCATGAGTGACAATGGCTTACTGTGTTCTTCTCCCATCTCCCAGGGACCATGGTGTACAGTACGTGATGGCCAATGTCTTGGGAATAGATTCTGTCCCCTGTTATGGCTGGAAGGGGAGGTCCCCAGGACTCAGCTTTGCTTAATTGAAATGTGCAGCTCTTGATCCCTAGGCTCAACAAGGAAAAAGAGAGACCGGAGAACCTCCTTGACCCCAGTCCGCCCCAGAAGCCACTGTGTCACACGCAGTGGGCCCCTTACTGTGCATCCCTTATTTGTCATACCCTCTCTGAACTAGCACACGTGGGGACCTTGCTAACTAAAGCACACACTTCTGGCATGGTGTTCAGGCTTTCCCAACACAGGGCACGTCTCAGAGAGTCGCAGTGCCTGCCCAGGCACAGGCAACACTTCCTCCCTGGTCTTTGGCAGCTATTAGTAAAACTGCACATCTGATTTAGTGAGAAAACCTACAGGCTTATATCCAAACCTGGTGGTCAGCCTTCACTCCAGTTCACATCCTTTAGAAGAAGCTGGCTCCTTGGCCCCTTTCCCTTCCCTTCTGTATTTCTTCCTCCACTATCCCTTCCTACAGAGCTAACAGTTGCCAAGGGGTGCTGTGTAACCCACATCATGATGACAGAATGTCCTCTTATGTAGGGACAACTATTGAATCTGGAGAAGGGATGACATACATCGTGCCTATTATGAATGGCTATCCTTTGCAACTGTCGACCACCAAGCTGGATGTAGCTGGCCAAGACCTGACTTCGTATCTCCTGAAACTGCTTTCAGACAGTGGGAACTTGTTAGTGGGTGCAGGTAGGAAACAACTGTTCTCAGATACACCAACCAGTGCTGTGTATAACATCCTCCATTTTCAGTGCATGTGTGTATAGATGCACCTGTGTGTGTGCATTCAGAGGCTGAAGGACAACCTCAGGTTTCAGTTACCCACCTCTTTTGAAACAGGTCTCCTATTGGCTTGGAGCTCCCCCATGAGGGTATGTGAGATTATTCTGTTACAGAGGAGAGTTGATAAGTACCCCATAAGCAGCAAGGGCCTTGGGTCTTTCATTAAGGGCTTAGACAGGATAATATTTGACCCTTTTGTGCCCTCATCCTGGGCTATATTTTTAGTTTATACAGTGTGCATGACAGCCATTCTCAATAGGCCATTGGCCTTTTTGGTCTTAGACAAGGAGTGGAAGACTGAGCCCTAGAGCCCTAAAAAAATAGCATCAATTAGAAGGATGGCAAAAACTTGTCAGGCCAGAGTCCTTGCATGTTCCTGGCTGCCCACTCTTAGCAAGATCCATGTGTTCATCATCATCTGTCTTCCCAAATGCTGATGATTATACTCATCCTTGCAGATGAAGGAAGTGGAAGTTTAAAAAGGATAATAACAAAATAAAAAAGAAAAGAAACCACAAAAAGGAAAATAAAAAAGAATAATTAATTTGCCTAAGTATTAATTAACCAATTAGCCAAATAAATGACAGAAGTGAGATATGAACCAGAATTGTCTCACCAAAACCCAATCCAGGAAAGTGAAGGAGAGAAACATTGGGATGCAGCAGAGTTCCAGAAGCCAAGGACAGAGAAAGGAGCAGCGGATGGTACCATTTGTTGGAGGGAAGGAACAGAGGGGCCTCCAGGCTCTAGGAGGAGGATGGAGGAGACATGGTCAAGGAGGTTGGGTTAGGTCAGGAGTGGCAGCACACACATGTAATCATGGAGCTTGAAGGTGGAGGCAGGAGGATTAGGAGTTCTAGGACATCTTCAGCTACACGTATGTTAAAGGCCATCCTGGGCTACACGAGACCCTGTTTCAGAAGAAGAAGAAGAAGAAGAAGAAGAAGAAGAAGAAAGAAGAAGAAGAAGAAGAAGAAGAAGAAAGAGAAGGAGGAGGAGCAAGAGGAGAAGGAGGAGGAGGAGGGATGGGGAACTGGAATAAAAGGAAGAGGGAGGAAGGGGGAGGGGAAGAAGAACAAGAAGACAAGGAGGGGGGAGAAAACGTGGAGAGGAAGAAGGAATAAGAGGAGGAATGAAATCAGGAGGGGAGGAAGAGTTGGAGAAGGAGTTAGAGGAGGAGGAAATGGAGGAGTTGGGAAAACTGGAGGAGATGGAGGAGGGGTTGGAAGAGGAAGGAGAGCTGAAGGAGGAGGAAGTAGAGGAGGAAGAGTTAGAGGAGGGAATAGAGGAAATGAGTGAGTTGAAAGAGGAGATCCATTAAAGCATGTTATGCAAGCATGGGTGCCTGAGTTCAGGTCCTTAGCATAACCCATGTCAAAGTCAAGTGCAGTGGAGGGAGTAGTGGGAACAGGTGGATCCCTAGGAAATCATTGGTCAGCCATCCTAGTCAATCAGCTGGAGGAAAAGGAGATGGAGGAGGCTGATTCAAGTGAAAGTGGCAGTCTGCAGGCTGAAAAGAGCCGATGAGGCCTGTGGTCAGAAGGTTTCTCAGGTCTTGCCTGGCCACCCTGCGGTCCTGCAGCATGCTTATAAAATAATCACTCAGAAGCTTATATTAATTATAACTGCTCAGCCATTAGCTCAGGCTTATTACTGTCTAGCTCTTACACTTAAATTAATCTATAATTCTTATTTATATTTAGCCATGTGGCTTGGTGCCTTATCTCAGTTCTGCCTTGTCATCTTGCTTCCTGTGTCTGGCTGGCGACTCCTGACTCCTCCCTTCCTCTTCCCTTCTTTTAGTCTGCTCACCCTGCCTATAATTCCTGCCTGGCTACTGGCCAATCAGCGTTTTATTAAATCAGTGTACAAGAGCACTATTCCACAGCATTTCCCCTTTTCTGTCTAATAAAAAGGAAGGTTTTAACTTTAACATAGCAAAATTATGTATAATAGAATTGTTATCAAGCAGGAATTATAGTTATAATATCTAGTCTATTTATATTTTGCAAAATTAAAGAAAATATTCTATCTATCCTATATTTGTGAGTCTAAGGTTTCATATCTACTTTATCTTTTATCATAACCAAGGAAAATTATAGCTATAACTATTTAGTCTTCAACTACATCAGAGACCCCAGAAGGATATAATATTACCTAAGCAAACAGGAAGTACATTGTAACCAACTTCCAAAATTCTGGAAATGACAGGTGTAGGAGACCAGCCCCTACTATTATTTACCCCAGGAACTCTTGAGGATTGAGGGATGAGACTTAGTTAGAAATAAGGAGAGAGAGAAACAGAGAGAAAACATGGGATAGACTCAGGTGGGCCTGGAACCTTATCTACTGGCCCAGAGCTTTGTTCAAAAAGGCTATTTATAACAATGTCAAGGGGTGGAGCAAAAGACCTCCCCCTTGCTAGTTAGACCCTTACAAACACCTGGTACCCAGGCTCATGGTCCAATCAACCTCTTATGCAGTCCTGCTGGGTACAGCCACTAGGAAACCTAGTGGACTCCAACAGACAGGACAGTCTGCTGCCTGTCTGGACAGTCATCCAAAGTTCCTCTGTAGTGTTGGGACATCCTTCTTCAGCCTACAGGCCAAGAGTCTCTCAGTCGCTTCTCTCTGTGTCCTGTAGAATACCTGGCAGTTTCTTCTGCAAAGCAGGAACCCGAAGGACCATCTCACCTTGCAAAGTTCAGTGGTCACCTTCTTAGGGGTCCTGCACATCCAGTTTATACAACATATTATCATCAGCCTAGGCAAGAGCAGCCTCTTGTCCAAATGGCTATTTTTTTCCAAGAAGAAGAAAAACTCTATATGGAATGTCTTCAATGCCCATCTTCCTTTTTGAAGTAATTGATGCTGCCAGGAGCAGACGTGTCTCATTGTCCAGAAAAGCCTAAGTTTTTAAAACATTTTAAATGTCATATTCTGTAGGTCTTTGAAGAATTTGAAGATTACCTACCTAATTGAAATATATCTATATATGCCTAGAAATTTTAACTAACATGACTATAAGTTTGATTATCATAGATGACTAATAATCTGCATTTCTCAATTATACATTACAATTTTAAATGAGCTGCACAAATATAATATCTTAAACAAGACTAGAAATATATACAGTATAACAAAATTAACTTTAAATTTGTAATAAACTGAAATCTATGGCAATATAAAACATTTTAAACAAGTTGTTGCTCTTTAAAAGTAGATTCAATAATCTACCCTTTCATCCTATCATACCTATAATATCTCCTTTTCTTCTTTAGAAAGATATTACATTTATAATCAACCTCCTTTAAATAAAAATAAACATTTATAAACAATATTTTGAGAATTTGGGCATAGCTTCTCATACTACTTCCTGCTGGATAGGGGCACTGGCAATCAAATAGGGGTCCTGAGAAAATTAAGAATTATGATCAAATTCTGACTGGAGTAGACTGTGAAGCTGCATTGTCTGAGCCAGTTGCCTTGAAGCTGATTTTGGATGTTGATCATCTGGGCCATGGTGTCATTGGAGACCTTTCAGAGTATCCTGGTTGATCAGGACCATATTAGCCTAGAAGCAATCCACAGATTATCATCTTCTGTGGAAACAAAAGTAGAACCTCTTTTTCCAAAGCACTGTATTCTTAGACACAAATTTTGAAGTCAAGATACCATATATATATATATATATAGGTTTAACTTAGCAGCCTTTACAATCAAATGTCTTTCTGCAGTTAGAAATCCCAAAGATAACACAATCCAGATTCTCTGTGTAATATCCATCTTTACATGGATTATTTTTATATTACTTTTGCTGTCTCTTTAAAGTCTTTATTTTTTTAAACTATCTATTTCTTTATAAACTGTTTAGAGGTTCATTCCATCTGAATCTGTCTTATTGTGAATCTATTGCTTTAAACTGCAGCGTGGCTAGGACAGAAGCGGCAGCCTGGGCTGCTGACTCCGCCCATCTCAGCTTTTCAACATGGTGGGGGTACCTAGGAGAGTCCCATTTACCCTGTCAACTCTGGGATCCATGCTGCCATCAGGTAGTGTGCAGCTAGCCCATAAACCCTTTTGTCTGTATGAGTAAAGGCTAAATCCACCATGCAGCATGCTGTGCAGCTGGGAGACTATCGGGGACTAAGGGGGTCCAGCCCCTCGATAGTCCCCTCCCAGGGTCCGGGAAGAATCTACAACCAGCTGGTAATTAATCTTTGATGAGGAGAAATGAATCTATGTACACGAAACTCCTTAGTCCATATACTTTATTATTCTGTGTCAGTTACAAGCTTATATTCTGCTCTCATATTTAGGTCTTTTCTTGCCTGATTTCTCTCTACACTTGTCCGCGGTCCCCTCTGGGTTCTATCTTAATTCCTTCATCTTGTTCTGCCCCTTCTAGGTTCTCATCCATCTTGTTCCTTCCCATATCATCTTTTCTCCCATCTCTTTCTCTCACCTCATCTCGTTCTTCCTCATCTTGTTGTTCCCCATCTGGCTCATCCTCATCTTCCATCTCATTCCTCTAGTACTCTCTTCTAGCCCTTCAATCTAGTTCTTCCCCATCTCAGTTTGTTCCTCTCAAGTTCTTACCCATCTAGTTCTTCCATTCTCTTTTCTCTTCTCCGACCCTCTGCCCTGGAAGTCCCGGTATATAAAAGGAGGGTCCGAGCTAAATTGTGTAAAGCTATTACTTAACGTCCACCTCCTGGCCGGTGTCTCCTTGTGGAATTTACCTTAAGTCAGGAGACTTGTATGTGGGCTGTTATCACTGTTAGTCCTCGGAAATTGGGCGACCACCTGGGCGGTGTCTCCTTGTGGAATTTACCTTAGGTCAGGAGACTCGCCTGTGGGTGGTTATCACTGTTAGTCCTCGGAAGTTGGGCAACCACCTGGGTGGTGTCTCCTTTAGTCCTTGAAAGTGGCTAGGGGAGATATCTGATTCCAGAGAAAGCCTTTCCTGAGGCTGTTCTCCAAATGCCTGGAATGTGTATGTCTAGAGAGTGATCAGTCCACATTGTTAGCCGTTCTTAGGGAAAAGTCAATTGGGAAAACTATGAAGGCACACATGATTTTCATAACAGAAGACAGCTGATACATAACAAGCCAAGTAACACCAAAAACTCCTTGGGATTTGGCTTCCTCTGGAGGAATTCCCTGATTCCTCCAGGTAGTGACTTTGCCATAACCAGCTGAGTTCTTATGATATATTCCTGCGGCCCACAGCAGGAGACAGCTCTGTGTACCCAGGCAGGAATCTACCATGCTCTGCTCAAGCCCACACGCCATGAACCCACTGTGGCCAGGGGACATGCCACTGTACTGTGGCCCACCATGAGTGCCATGAGATAGGAAGGTGTTCTTTTTTTTTTTTTTTTTTTTTTTTGAGACAGAGTTTCTCTGTGTTGTTTTGGTGCCTGTCCTGGATCTTACTCTGTAGACCAGGCTGGCCTTGAACTCACAGAGATCCACCTGGCTCTGTCTCCCGAGTGCTGGGATTAAAGGCATGTGCCACCACTGCCTGGCTAGGAAGGTGTTCTTAACTACATTTATAATCTCTTCTTAAGCTCTCTCAGGTTTTAGGTGGAAACTCTTGCCACCACATCTGGGCACCATTTGTAGTTGGAAGGTTTCTCAGGTCCGGCCCAGCTCCACATCCCACAACCACTTATAAAGTAATCACTCAGAAGGGCAGAGTCAGGAGTCACCAGCAGCCAGACACAGAGGAAGCAAGATGACAAGGCAGAACTGAGAAAAGGTACCAAGCCATGTGGCTAAACATAGATAAGAACTATGGGTTAATTTAAGTGTAAGAGCTAGTCAGAATTAAGCCTGAGCTAATGGCTGAGCAGTTATAATTAATATAAGCTTCTGAGTGATTATTTTATAAGCAGGCCGCAGGTCTGCAGGGCTGGGCAGGACCTGAGAAAACTTCTGACCACAGAGGCCTCCAGGTAAGCAACATAGGGAAGTCCCTTTTAGTCAAAACTCAAAGACAACAGTAGATAAAACATAAAAGCCTAATCAAAAGACATATCTGGGCTTCAAACCTGTTGTCAGAAACCTAGGAAGGAAAAGGGCATCACTTGCCAGGTTTTCCAGGCAAGGGGCCTCACTGGTCATAACTAGTCCTCCAGAGGATCAGCAGGCATGGGGGGGGGGTGCAGGCAGACTTTTTTGTCCTGTCAGCCAATTCCCAAATAATCATACAGAGACATATTATTAATTATAACTGCTTAGGTAATAGCTCAGGCTTGTTACTAACTAGCTCTTATATTTTAAATTAGCCCATATTTATCTATGCTCTGCCATGTGGTGGTACCTTTTGTTTTCAACATGGCAAGTTCAGCTTGCTTCTCTCCACATCTCCTCATGACTCCTGAGACTCTGTCCTTTTTCCTCTTTGTGCTCTCTTTTTGTCTGCAAGTCCTGCCTAACCTCTATCTGTCCAGCTATTGGCCAGTCAGCTCTTTTATTAACCAGTGAGAATAATACATATTTACAGGATATAAAGATTATTGTTCCACAGCAGTGGCGGGGGTCCAGAACACCCAGGTAATAAATGTGAATTGGATTTTGTAGGCCCCACAAACATCACACATGGCAGGGTTGCATCTTAGGCGATGCTGAAGAGACCTAGCTCTGTGCCTCCTATGAAGGGAGGATTATTTCCTCATGCTGTGCCCTTCCAAAGTCTGGCCCACAGCCTGGCCAAGACCCCACTGAAGGGGTTGCATGGACACAGTGACTGTCTAGGAGTGGGACTACCTTCCTGTGCCCACTCTCATGAGTGGCACCCTACATGTCCCTGCTTCTTGGTCTTCCTTACCTTACAGCTGACCGTGAGTACATCCGGGACCTGAAAGAGAAACACTGCTATGTGGCACTGGACTATGACATGGAAATATCAAAAACCGCAACACCCTCCCACCAGAAAAAGTTCCAGTTGCCTGATGGCAAGGAGGTCAACATGGGGCAGGAGGCTTTCATGTGCTCAGAGGCACTCTTCAACACCAGCCTCATTGGTGAGTCCAGGATCAGGGGGCAGCGGGCCAATGGACACTCACATAGAATGCCATGGGAAGAAAGGTGGGAGGGTAGTACTAGGGCATTCTACTTCAGGAGTAATGCCTCCTGCTCTAATGTTTCCCTGGTACTGGCTGCCACGCACTCAGCTGCCTCCTACACTCCTGTCACTTTGCTGACTCTTTGACTCCACCCCAGAGGTCTTAGGCCAATCGCAGATGGGCTGGAGGACAACAGAGCACCACTCTCTTCAGTAGTGTGCTATTTATAACTCTCACTGTGCAGGATACTTTGAAATGGAACAGTGAAGACAGTGGAGGCAGAAGCACAAGCAATGGAAGTTTGGGAGAGCTTTAAGCATCTAAATGGCCAGAAGGCTTTTGTTTTATTATATTTGTTATTAATATTTGTTTCACTGTGTAGCTCTGGCTGTCCCAGAACTTGCTCTGTAGACTAGGCAGGCCTGGAACTCACAGAGATCACCTGCCCCTGTCTCCCGAGTGCTGGGACTACAGGTATGAGCCACTATTGCTCAGCTCTCGAGGGTTTTTAATGAGTGCTGGGTTGACCACTGTGTTAGTTGGTTTTCTTATTGCTGTGAAAAAAAAATGCCTGAAGAAAGCAGCTTAAGAAAAGAAATTTAATCATAGTTCTCAAGGAAACTGACTCAAACTTTGGCTCAAAGAGAAGAACTTTGACCCATAGTTCAAGGTTACTGTCTACCAGGTGCTCGAGGCACCTGGTCACACCCACAGGCAGGAAGTAGAAAGAGGAAGGCTGGTGCCCAGCTCGCTTTCTCCTTTCTGACCCAGGACCCCGGCCCATGGAATGGTGCCACCCACATTCAGGGTGGGTCTTCCCTCCTCAAGTAATACAGTCTAGACACTCGTCAGCTGTGCCCAGGGGCTTGTCTCCACGTGGTTCTAGATCCTTCAGGCTGACAGTATTAACTCCCAGAACCACCTTCTCTCTAGTGGTGCACACCTGTCACCTAGCACTGGAATGCAGACTCAGGAGGATGACCATGAGCTCATAGTCAGCCTGGGCTACACAGTGAGTCATGGTTTCAACAAACGGGGAAATGATGGACTATGAAATCTCTATAGCAAGGGGAAATGAGATCTCAGGGAAGACACGGAAAGCCAACATTTCCTAAGATAAAAGTCTTAAAGCCATCTTCCCCCTTCGACACAAGACCCATTGGGTTAGCTCCCTTCCCTGCTGTATAGTGCAAAGCATGCAGTTTTTCTCTGCTTTTGATTTTTAAGACAGGTGTTTGCTCTGTAGCCCAGGCTAGTCTGGAACTCATCATGTAGCCTAGGCAATCCTCCTGCCTCAAGATGTGGGATTGTAGGCATGGTAGAGCACACAGTCTGAAAGGCCTAACACATGCCAGTGAGCTGAAGTCATTAAAGTACTCTTCAGAGGCCAGGAGGATTCCAGGGAGGAGTGCAGCCTCAGGCTCCTGATGTCAGCAGAGCCCTCTTCCAGGCACACCCCAAGCCACTCAGTTATATTAGCTCTTCAACCCTTAGCCCAGGGTCACCCTGTGTAAGGAGAGAGAGGTGCTGACTGGCATGCACTGCCCCCGTCCCAGACACTCACAACATGAGCTATAGCTACATGACATACCCATCATTCAAGGCTGGTGTGGGTTGCTTACTTATACAACAAAAGGCAAGTGAAAGAGTTACTCAGCGGCGTTTCCCAAGGCTAACTGTGAGTTGGGACACTGCCCTACAGATGCCAACAAAACAGGTGATGCCAACCTCATCTGAGGCATGGGAGGTCAACTCTTGTCAGTGATGGTCCTGGAAGGCCAGGCTTGTGACCTGCTTAAAGTCCACGGGCCTTGAGGTTCTTGGTAGCACTTGGGGCCATCCAGAACCTGGGAGGTATCCCTCCTTACAATACTAAAACTGGGAACCATTGATCCCAAAGCCCTCTTGTGCATTGTCCCCCAGGGAAAAGCAACCTGGGGATCCACATTCAGGCCCAGGAGAGCATCACATCCTGCGACCGCTCCTATTGGAAGACTCTTTTTAGTCATATCATGGTGTCTGGTGGCACCGGTGCCTCCTCAGGTCTACGACTCCGGCTGCAGAGAGAGATAACAAATCTGACCTCTCCAGACCTCTGTGTGAAGGTATTGGCCTGAGCCTTACCAGGGGCCTCAGGGGTCGACCCATACGTAGTTCTAGAGTGGCTTTAGGCTCCAGTCATTGTTCTTCCCATTTGAGGATGCACCAATAGCAAAAGTGGCAGAAGCCCCTGGCATTTACATCCTTTGTGTGGAGGTGGGGTGGGGGATGGGGTGGGGGTGGGGACAGTGACAACAAGCTAAGCTAGTGTAGCAGGAGTGGTAGATGGGAAGGATCTGTAGTCTGCATGGTGGGCAGTGGCAGGCTGGGATGCTCAACACAGAGGACATGTGCTTAGAAGGCATCAAAGTGACCCCTACAGAGGGGATGGGGAGCTATGGGGGGGGGCAGGAAGAGCACATGGGCTTCTTTTGTCTTTTATATGAATTCATGTGTGTATGCATGTGGACACAGAGGCCTTGTCCAGCTTTATTCATGGGTTCTGAAGATCTGAATTCAGGTCCTCACACCTGAGCCCATCTACCCCATCTTCTGGAACAGATCTCACTATGTAGTCCTGGCCGGCCTGGAACTTGCTATGTAGACTAGCCTGTTCTAGGTCCTCCTGCCTCTGCCACTCGAGTGCTGGGATCACAAATATGTGCCACCAAGGCTTCAACATTTCCCAATTTAAAAAGTTATCTTTTCCACTGGAGAGAGATGACTGCCCACAAGTTCTTTCAGGTATGGACATTATGGGTCCCATTCAGAACTGTTCATTTTCTTTTTCAATGAATATCTTTTTAAAAGGTTTGTTTTTATTTTATGTGTACAAGTGTTTACTTCCATGTATGTGTGTGTGTGCACCATGTGCGTGCAATGCCCATGGAGGCTAGAAAAGGGTGTAGGATCTCTGAAACGAGTTACAGACAGTTGTAAGTTGCCACGTGGGTGCTGGGAACTGAATCAGGTCCTTTGTCAGCACAGCAGATGCTTTTAACCACTCAGCCATTGTTCCAACTACAAAGGAATACTGTCTAAACAAAAAATTGTAATTGCACTTGTTTTCTTGTGTCTGTATGTGTGCATGCATCACAGCATGTGTGCTGAGGTCAGAGGACAACTGGTGGAAGCCATTTTTTTTTCTTCTAGTATGTGGGTCCCAGGATTTGAACCAAGGTACAGGCTTGGTGGGTGGATCTTTATCTACTGAGGCATCTCACCAGCCGCAAGAACAGTTTTTTTAATCCTTATTTTGTGTGCATATGTGTGTGTGTGTGTGTGTGTGTGTGTGCATGTGCACACACGCTACTGCACATGTGTGGAAGTCAGAGGACCACTTGAAGGAGTCAGTTTTCTCTTTCTACCATGTGGGTCCCAGGGACTGAACAAAACTTGTCAGCCTTAGGGCAGCTGTGTTTACTGAATAGCCTTCTCATCAGTCCAGAGTGGTATTTTGATGTGGATTTTCTTCCCCTCCCTCTAGGTGGCCATCTCTCCATATGCCAAGTATGGTGCCTGGGTAGGTGCCTCCATCTTGTGCTCTCTCCCTATGTTCAAGGACATGTGGGTCACAAGTCAGGAATATAGGGAAATTGGCCCTTCCGTCATGTGTAGAAGAAACCTCTGACTGGTGGCTTTCAGGTTCCATCACCCGGGCCAACATCACCATGCCCATGCTGAGCCTCAGCCTAACTGAGCAGGCCACAGTTAGAACAAGCTTACAGCAAGGCCCCTTTTCTCCTGGAAGACAGTAAAAGTGTGTAACAGGACTGATTCTGCCTGGTGTCTGGGTGGCCCCTGTAGCATTCCAGTATAACAGGTGCTGATTCTTCCTGTGTGTTGGTCAAGATAACTCAGTGATGCTGCATAACAAGCATCCCCAGCTCCCAGTGGCACAAAGTGATTTGCCTATCACCCTGCTGCCTGCATCCTGAAGTAGGGGTGATTACCCTCACTTGAGACCTTCTGGTAAAGCAGATACCATCTTTAGCATTCACTCACTGTGAGTTTCTTAGTTCATTTTCTGTTGCTATAACAAAATATCCTATACCTGATAATTCATAAAGAACAGAGGTTTATTTAGGGCACAGGTTCAGGAATATGACACCAGCCTCTTTGAGGGTCTTGTGCCTCATTAAAATACAGTGTGGAACACTGTGGACTGAAATAGCATCATGCAAGTTTAAGTCTCTTCCTCTTCTTATCAAGCCATTAATGCCATCAAGAGGCCCCATCCTTATGACTTCATTTAATCCCAGCCACCTTCCAAAGCCTCCAAATACCATTAACATATAGATTTGGGACATCTTTAAACACCAGTGGCCGAAGTTAGGAGTCCTCTGTTGGGTCCCACTGGCAATCAGGGGACATGGTGGGTGTATATCACAATAGACACAAGTCACACAAAGCCCCACCCCAACCCCAAGAGGACAGGAAGGAGCAGAGTTAGATGGCACAGGGGCTGGAAGGGGGTTAACAGCACACACTGTGCAAGGGGTCTCAACCCTTCAGGGGATGTAGTCCTCATGAGATTGTTGTGAGGCCCATTTTATTGGGTCTGACTGTAGATGCAGGAACTGCAGCCAAGGTAGACTGGATCAAGGCTATAAAGGTCAGCATAAAGGTCAACATAAGGACTTGAAATGAGTGAGTGGGAGCACTGGGGACTGAAAACAGAAAATATAAGCTGATACATATAAGGAAGGCAACCCCAGGCTGTAAGACATGAATCATTCCAGTCCAGTTTCAGTGTGAGATATGTTCAGAGCTAACTAGAGACTCCCGGATAAGCAGGGGACACTAGGTCCCGTCCTCCCTAGCTGGCAGCTGTCGCCTGCATGTCTAGACTCTCAGTTCATCCTAGGGTTGAAAAGTCACAGGCAGTTTGCTATGTGACTGAATCCACGGATCAAAAAGGAGGAATCTTGAGCCCCAGGACTTACATTAGACAAGGCTTTGTGTCCTGAACCAACAGGGTGGGGACACTAGGAAGATTGTGCCTCTCTGAAGAACTCAGCCAGTGAGGAATTTAGGGTGCAGAGAAGGGCGATCAGGAATTTTGAAACATGTATTTTGTGCTAACAGTGCACCAGCTGTTTCTACCTTTTCTCTAAGCTGATGCCCAACTCTACAAGGTTAAAAAAAAATTGCTGGGCTGGAGAGATGGCTCAGAGGTTAAGAGCACTGGCTATTCTTCCGTAGGACCTGAGTTCAATTCCCAGCAACCACATGGTGGCTCACAACCATCTATAGTGAGATCTGGTGCCCTCTTCTGCCCCACAGGGACAAATACAGGCAGAACACAGTATACATAATAAATAAATCTTTAAAAAATAAACTGCTCTGGCTCTGAACCTCACCTGGGCAGCACAATAGAGCTAACCCTATTGGTGGAGGTATGAGTGAGCCAACCTCAAAGCTGTGAGCATGGGAGAGCTGTTCCCATTACTCATCTGTCATGTGGCAGCATGGGTGGGGGAGAGATGCCCTCCCCCACCCCAGCCCATCAATGCCTGAGGCAGGTAGGAGAGTTGGCCTTGAAGTCATAAGAGCTGGATACCTGTCCCTGCCCCTCTTCAGCTGCAGCAGCTTCTGCTCAGCAGCTGCCCCTACACCTTGCCTGAGCAACACAGTAGGTGTAGGTGAACTAACCCTGAGAATGTGAAAGCCAGAGAACTGGCCCCGCCCCTTGCTCATTGCTGTAAGGCGTGAACTAGCCAGGGCAATGCAGGAGAGCTCACCCTAGTAGTGTGGACAAGGGAGAGCTGGTGGGCTGATCAATCTTGCAACTACCTAGACCCAGAACCAGGGTTGTGAGTTGACTCACCCCAACATCCACCACATCTGTGATCTGCTGGAGCACATAAAGGGACCAGTCTTGCAGACCCAAAGCTGCAGGATCTCCATGACACAGGGCAACAACAGGATATCCAAGAGGAGTTCCAGTGAGGGCCCAGCATCAATAGTGTAACAGAAACCAGAGGGCTCAAACCAGACCAACACTGTTTGCAATGAACACTTGAAAATAAAGATATATGGATAAAAGGGTTTACTGTGTGACTCACTGTGTCACACTGCAGCTTTCATGCCGAGTTGAATTTTTTCCTTTTAATTTTTTTTTGGGGGAGGGGGAGGTTACAAAGGCAGAGGGTAGATATGAAGGGATAGGAAATGAATGGGATGTAGATGCATGATGTGAGATACCTGCCTCCAGGCTGTGCCCCCACCCCTGCCACCCACTGGACACTGTCCTGCCAAGACCCACTCTACTGCCCAACCCCAAGCACCTGAGCATCCTCCCTGTGGCCAGCCCTCACCTGCAACCCCAGCAGACTACAAAGGCACAGGTGTAAACCACACCAGTTGGAAAACAGCAAACTTCATAGGCACAAGTGCAAACCACAACAGTTAGAAGAACAGGCACAGGCACAAGCCACACCAGTTGGAAGAAAAGATGAGTAAACACTGGTGGTGTAAAATATATTCAACAGGCCAGGTGGTGGTGGCATACGCCTTTAATCCCAGCACGCGGGAGGCAGAGGCAGGCAGATCTCTGTGAGTTTGAGGCCAGCCTGGGATACAGAATGAGTTCCAGGAAAGGTGCAAAGCTACACAGAAAAACCCTGTCTTGACAAACAAAACAAAACAAAACAAAACAAAACAAAAAAGCAATATGGATGGCACCACCAGAACCCAATGATCCTACAATAGCAAAACATTCCAATTCAGCTGAAATACAAGAAAACTAACTTAAAAATTATCTTATGAAGATGATAGAGGCTCTTAAAGAGGAAATGAAAAATTCCCTTAAATAAGTCAAGCACAAGACAAACAAAAAATTGAAAGTAATCAATAAATCCCTTAAAGCAAAGAAAGCCAAGAAAAAGCAATCAAACAGGTGAAGGAAACAGTTCAAGACTGGAAAACTGAAATGGAAACAATAAAGAAAACACAAACCGAGGGAATTCTGGAAATGAAAAATCTGAGGAATTGAATGGGAACTACAGATGCAAGTGTCACCAACAGAATACAAGAGATGGAAGAGAGAATCTCAGGCATTGAAGATACAATAGAGGAAATAGATTCATCAGTCAGAAAATGTTAGATCCAATAAATTCCTAACATAAAACATCCAGGAAATCTGGGACAGTATGAAAAGACCAAATCTAAGAATAATAGAGAAGAAGAGGAGGAGGAGGAGGAGGAGGAGGAGAAGAAGAAGAAGAAGGAGAAGAAGAAGAAAAGAAGGAGAAGAAGAAGAAGGAGAAGAAGAAGAAGGAGAAGAAGAATCCCAGCTCAAAGGCACAGAAAACATATTCAACAAAATCATAGAAGAAAACTTTCCCAACCTAAAGAAGGGCATGCCTATGAAGATACAAGAAGCTTACAGAACACCAAATAGGCTGTACTCTAAAAAAAATGTCCCTTTGCCACATGATAATTGTAACACTAAATATACAGAATAAAGAAAGAATGCAAAGGAAAAAGACCAAGTACTGTATAAAGGCAGCCCTATCAGAATTACACCCGACTAAACAATGGAGACTCTAAAAGCCACAAGGTCCTGGACAGATGTTTTACAAAAACTAAGGGCCCATGGATACCAGCCCAGGCTGCTATACCCAGCAAAACTTTCAATCAACATAGATGGAGAAAACAAGATATTTCATGACAAAACCAGATTTAAACAATATCTACCTGCAAATCCAGCACTACAGAAAGTACTAGAAGAAGAACTCCAACCCAAGGAACTCAGCTACATACACAAAAACACAGGTAATAGAATCCCATAACAGCAAAACCCAAAGAAGGGAAACACACACACACACACACACACACACACACACACACACACACTACCACCACCACCACCAAACCCAAACAATAACAGGAATTAACAGTCACTGGTCATTAATATCCCTTAATATCAGTGGACTCAATTCACCTATAAAAAGACACAGGCTAACAAAATGGATACGAAAACAGGATCCATCTTTCTGCTGCACACAAGAAACACACCTCAACTTCAAAGACAGACATTACCTCAGAGTAAAGGGTTGGGAAAAAATTTTTCCAATCAAATGGACGTAAGAAGCAAGTCAGTATAGCTATCCTTATGTCTAACAAAATAGACTTCAAACTAAAATCAATCAAAAGAGAGAGGACATTTCACATTCATCAATGAAAAATTTCATCAAAATGAAGTCTCAATTCTGAACATTTATGCCCCAAATACAAGGGCACTCACATTTGTAAAATAAACGTTACTAAAGCTTAAATCACACATCAAACCCCACACATTAATAGTGGGAGATTTCAACACCCCACTCTCACCAATGGACAGGTCTGCCAGACAGAAACTTAACAGAGAAACAAGGGAACTAACAGATTTTATGACTCAAATGGACTTAATAGACATCTACAGAACATTTTACCCAAGCACAAAGGAATATACCTTCTCAGCACTTCATGTAACCTTCTCTAAAATTGACCACATACGCCGGGCGGTGGTGGCGCACGCCTTTAATCCCAGCACTCGGGAGGCAGAGCCAGGCGGATCTCTGTGAGTTCGAGGCCAGCCTGGTCTCCAAAGCGAGTTCCAGGAAAGGCGCAAAGCTACACAGAGAAACCCTGTCTCGAAAAACCAAAAAAAAAAAAAAAAAAAAAAAAAATTTGACCACATACTCAGTCATAAAGCAAATATCAATAGATACAAAAAAATTGGAATAAACCCTTGTGTCTTATTGGACCACCATGGGCTAAAGTTAGAGTTCAACGACAGAAACTACAGACAGCCTACAATCTCATGGGAACTGAACAAGGCTCAACTGAACCACCTCTGGGTCAAGGAAGAAATAAAGAAATGAGAGACTTGCTAGAATTCATTGAAAATGAATCCACAACATACTCAAACTTATGGAATACAATGAAAGCAGTGCTAAGAGGAAAATTCATAGCACTAAGTGCCACATAAAGAATTTGGAGAAATCTCACACAAGTGACTTAACAGCACACCTGAAAACCCTAGAACAAAAAGAAGCAAACTCATCTAGGAGGAGCAGACAACAGGAAATAACCAAACTCAGGGCTGAAATCAGTAAAGCTGAAACAAAGAACAATACAAAGAATCAATGAAACAAAGAGTTGGTTCTTTGAGAAAATGAACAAGATAGACAAACCCTTATTCAAACTAACCAAAAGGCAAATTGAGAATATCCAAATTAACAACATCAGAAATGAAAAGG